TTCCATGCCTTTTTCGGCCTGAGGGAATATTGGGAGGACCCGGCAAAACTTAACAGAGATTGGAAGGCACCGGATGGGATTTACTGGATATGCGGAAAGAAAGCATACAGTGAATTGCCCAGAAATTGGAAAGGGTCATGCACACTCGGAATAATTCGGCCTTTCTTCTTTACATTACCTAAAGATGAAAGCAGGTCTTTAGGTGCTCCCCTCTTTGAAACTCTAGCCCGACAAAAGAGGGAATCGAAACAAGAACTACCAATAGCCGGAGGTAACCACAAATGGAAAGGGGAGGAATGGCCCGCCGAAAGGATCATACAATATTATGGACCGGCAACATGGGCGAATGATGGCAGTTGGGGATACAGGACCCCAATCTACCTCCTTAATCGGCTCATTCGGTTACAGGCTGTGGTAGAAGTTGTTTCAAACCACACTTCAGAAGCCCTGGAACTCCTAGCAAAACAACATTCTCAGATGAGAGCTTTTGTCTACCAAAACAGACTCGCTCTCGACTATTTGCTAGCTGAGGAGGGAGGAGTGTGTAGCAGATATAACGAGTCAGAGTGTTGCATGGAGATAGATGACTTCGGAGAAACTATAAAGGGTCTAGCTGCTGAAATAAAGAAAGTAGCCCATGTACCCGTCCAGAAGTGGAATTCGATTCTACAAGCCTCTTGGTGAGATCAAATTTTTGGGCAAAGGGCATGGTGGAAAAAGCTAGTATTCTTTATAGGATGTTCTATTGCCGGAGTCATCTTCCTACCCTGCCTGATTCCTTGTCTGATCAGACTGATACATTCTGTCGTTCAAGGAATGCAGATTGCCTCTCTCCCAATAGACCCAGAAAAGGCACAAGGAAACGCTACCCTTCTTTCAAAAATCATGAAGTTAGAAGAAGAAAAAGAGAGTAGAAATGCGGTTAAAGCATTGAGAGAATTTGAAAACAAACATATGTTGTCCCCAGAAAATGTAGAAGAGTTAGACAAAGAGGAAAACGACGTTATCTAACCTGATGGTCCTCTAAAAAGTATGTAAACACGAATTTTTAATGTGATCAAATTATTAGGTGGGGGACTGTAATAAAGAATTGGGTGAATAAAAATTCGGAATAAGAGGTTTAAGTAAAGTATGTGTAAGTATAACTAATGAAAATATGGAATAAGGAATTCTCCTCCAGGTCGAGGCAGAATTCCTTTTCTAAAGTCACGGATTGCAAAAGAACCCCCCCAGATAACAAGCTTCAGCAGGCTCATCAACTCGGAGGAAAAGACAGGACACAGGCCATCATAGAAACAAAAGAACTAGCCTGAAAGTCTACCTCCAGATAAAGGCAACGCCCGGCCGATTTCGGCCGGAGACCATCAAGCAAGACAAAAGGGACGAGCCCCAGGAAAATGGTCGTTGCCAGAATCGAACACCACACCCGCCAAACCCAAACTACAGAAACTCAATCAAGAAAGACAAAGAAGAGACTACTCCTCCGAGATATCCATCGGCGCTAGCCCGGATCCCTCGATTCTGCTGTGGTGAAATATGTTAAAATACATACAGACTCACTTTGCATTTGAGGAGACTCTGCCCGGACACTTACTGATTCAATGTTCTAGGCCAGGAAATCCATTCACCCGACAATCAGGGACACTTGGTGAATGGAAACTGGTTGGAATTCTAGCCTGGGGACATAAAATCCCTATGAAAACCCAGGCCAAAGAACCCTCAGACGTGGATTTGGGAACACCTATACCTTGCGTATAGACCCTGTCCACCCAGCGCTGCGCTGTCCATTTATTGTGGTTTTTCCTCGCTGTTCGTTGCTTTATTAATTTATAATAAATTTATCTTTGTTAATCTTTAATCTGCCGTTGCATTTATAACATCTGAGATGCTTCTTTTCAGGCTTTTCTTCTAAAGCTACTTCCAGAATCCTCCTTTTTTTGGCACATCTGCTTTCCACAATGCTTTAAGCCCCAGCTGAAACAGTGTAAGTGCACAAGAGCAGCCACCTAATTAATGGCTCTGTCATGTCTTTCAATTGAAGAATTTAGGTCAGAATTTTGGTTTATTCCAGGTATTATTAAATTTAAAACCAGACTATACTGGCAGCAGTGAGCAAGTAGGCAGCTTCTTGTCCTTGAGAGCACAGAAGCTGACACATTTATTTCCCCACACATATACACCAAGTGATCAGTTGCCCAGTAGCTCACAATTTAGGCTTTTCTTTTTGCCCACAAATCATGAAGAGCTCACAGTGCTTTGAAAGCGTGCTGTATACCAATGCTACTCTGACTATTCCTGTGCTCAATCTCAAGAGGCTGCTCCCATGGAAAGAAACTGTTGAACCAGGAGCACCGTACCAGCAATCACATTTCTCTCTTCTTACCCTGCTTCAGTGCACAGCGATGGAGTTACAGGAAAAGTCCAATGCAACAGCAGCATTGATATGTCTTATAAACAGGAATAGATCATAACTGAGCTCTTTCTATGATATATTCTCTTGGTCCCATCCCTCCATTCAATTTGCAGCCTCTTCCTTCCACTTCTTAAATCCATGGACTAATTTTGCCTATAAACAGTGTACAAAATAGTCACTAGGACTGGGATTAAGGGTGTATCTCAGATTTTCATCACAGAACAAGGGTTCAAGGGTGTCATGGAGTTACTTTATCTTTAAGGGAGTTGGAGTTGCTGGGAACTGCCTGGAGTCTTTTCTCCTGACCAATTATCGGTCATTGCTGAGAATTGACAGCAGTTTAGGCCATTGAAAAGTGGGATCAACTTGTGAACCCTACCTTAAAGTGTAAAAGCAGAGCTCTCTGGGTTCTCTTTGTTTCCTGGCTGTGAAGAGTGGCAGAGCTCCAGGCCTCCTGGAGCAGAGTTCCCTGCCCAGGCCATGCGGCCAGGCGGGGACAGGGCCGGGCGTGCCCCGTCTCCCGGCTGGGAGATGGGTGGGGGGCCTGCGGAAGGTTTTCCTCGGGCCCGGGCCGGGCCAAGCCGGGCCCGATCTCTGGCTCGGCTTCAAGTTTTGCTGTAACTAAATTCACTAGAAACTGCCGAGTGAAGAAGGAGAGAGGCTCAGGACGTGCAGCAGGCTGGGGCGGCGACCACACTCTCTAGAGCAGCTATGAAAAACCTTCCATCGCAGACGGCTCCAGCTCCTGTTCGGCAGAGATCACCGAACCATCTACAAAAGCCTGGGCAAGATTTTAACTCTTTCATTACCCAGATGAGACTTGCGGATTAATCTTTTTATCCAGAGAGAGAGAGAGAGAGAGAGAGAGAGAGAGTGATCAACATGAAAAGAGACTTTATAAACTACCAGTGACAGGAAAGAAAAGAAGCTTCAGAAGAGGTAGAGAATTAAGAAGATGCTTTAATTAAGCTGAAATATCTTTCTGTTCAAACTATGGAGATGGACAATGAAGTCCTGAAAAGAACTCCTTTAATTCATGATACAGTATCTAAGGAGGAATAAAGTATTCAAAGTGTAAATTTGAGTTAAAAGTAGAGTAATTATGATATAGTGAAATGCTGGGAGATTTGAAGCCTTGAGAGGCAATGAGAAAACTGTTTTCTAGTGAAGCTCACAGAAACAGATGAAGACTTTTTTGCCTTTGAATAACTTATCCTTAAAAATGCTATCCTTAGACTCATTGTCCATACACACTTCAGAGTGATGTGAAAATGGGAGGAGTGGGCTCTAATAATAGTAGCTCAGGGCAGCTAACATTAGGGCAATGGAAAACTATAACAAAAATAGTTTTCTTGTGAGAAACTCCATAAATTAACAGGAAGAAGCTTCTGTTTCTCTACAAAGACTGGTGAAAAGACTGTAGAAAGAATTGGGACTGTTTTAACCATCAAAGTTCCAAAGTTTTTGTCTCTGTTGTCATGTGAACAAGGGAATAGTGGGTAGATAGGGGATGAAAAGGTTTTTCTAAAAGTTTATTCTGGTGTTCTTATTATTGTAGTTTGTCAATAAACTTTCTTTTTTTTCCCTTTTAAGTTGTATGCCTGTTTTGCTCTTGTTCTAATCCATATCTCACAGCAAGAAATAAGTAATTTTCTTAGTTATTGGTTTAAAACCACGACAAAGGGAGAATCCTAATGCATTAAAATGCAGACTACTGACAAGGATAGATAGTCGAGCAAAATCTGTGGGAAGAATAATGCAAAATCATCATCTGGGACAGGAAAAGGGAAAAGGTAGAATCTAGGACAACAGAAGTTACAAAACCAATGCCACTGCCCTTAATCTTTGTGTCTGCAGAGATTATATATCTCTCTGTCAGCCATGTCCCACTGGCTAACTGACTTTTGACAGAAAAAATAATTGTTATCATCCCAGCTACTACTGAGTGGTTATTTTCTCTTCCCACTACTCTGCTTTCTCCAGCAAATACTCATTATGACTGACCAAGCATCACAGACCTCTCTGTCAACCCCTAGCCTTGCATTGCTGTCTATTAAAAACACTTCCCTTTCTCAGCATTCACAGATAAATATATACTAGTTCTTTCCAAAGACTCATTTTTCAAAATTTTTAATTAGAGTCAGTTGCTGACACTCCAGAGACCTTTCAGAGTCTCTGACAAAGACAAAATACATACAATCTTTGAGGAGGCTGAAACCTAGATGAAGATTTTGAAAGGAATTTTAGAACTACAGGGAGGAACTAGGAAAAAAGTTAATTAAAAGTTAAGGGATCCCAAGGAACTAAGTCAGTTGATCTCCTCTTGAGAATACAGTGGGCAATACCTCCAGCTCATCCGCTTTCTCATTATTGAGGGATTAAATCCACAACTACAAAAGCAACATCCATGCTCGTTACTCCCTTCAGAAAAACATAATTTTAGGGCACCCATCCACCTTCCAAACTCATTTTGAAGATGCTCAACATGAACAATTTAAAGCAGGTGTTCAAAGTGTACATCAAAGAATAGGACATGGTTGAGTGTCACTTCATCCATTAAGTTTCCCATAAAAAAAGCACATAAGAGTGACTGGTCTCCAAAGTTTATTAAAAATCAAAGAATAGAAAACTTTACATAAAAATATGTCAATTTTAGCTTCCACATAGTTGTCCACACAAAAAATTTAAACATTTTTTTAAACCTGTAGCACATAACCACAGTGACAGCCAGGCCAATTAATTTGGTTCACCATGACTGAAGTGTTACATGATCTCACTTTTCAAATGAGTTTGGCTTTAAAATGGACACTAGTATAAGACACCAATTAAAGCCTCCGAAGGCTCTTTAATGTATTTATGCTTGATATTGCTAGTGTGTGAAGACTAAGCAGTACAGGCTCATGTGACAGCCCTTAGGTATTATTCATGAATCAGCTCACAATTTTTAGAACTTTTTTATTGTGATGAGTCTGGAGCATTAAGACAAACTTTCTACAAACAGATATGCACTAGTCTAGTTTGGAATGATGCCCTCTCTCCCCTCAAGGACCTGTTTGTGTTTGACAGTATTTTTCAGTAATAACATGAACTACTTCTGCTTCAAAGGCATATAGCATACCAAAAAGCCTCATGCTTGACACTTAATTTCAATATTCAGATACCAGTTTTAAAACCTTCTATATCTGTACACAGTATAGATGTCCTGTTAACAAGATTCTTCAGCTTTCTCTGCTACTGGACTTACATAACTCACCTGTAATTTTCTGTATAGTTTAAGAACTTCACTTAAAAAAAGGGAAGCCAGAGGGCATGAGATGTGACCTACTCCCAGGACAACTGTGGTGCGTTAAAAACTCAGGGTTAGGCAGGATGTACATTTTTCAAAAAGACAGTGTTTGTCATGGCAATACACACTTGCATAGTATACCTGTATGCATCTGTAAATTAAGTGCCAGCCACTCATATGGTGTACAACACTGAGCTGTGCTCTCCTGCAACACATTAAAAGATACTTCTTGCAATGCTTAGAGCAGCTTTAGTACTTTTTATATATTTGCTCTTAACAGAACTAATGCATACCACTATACAGATTCCTTAATGGAATCAACATATTTCCTTTCTCCACATTTCTTAAGCTGGGTATCTCTGTTTAATAGTAGCGTTTCAACCCAAACATTAACAAGTTACATTACTAAAATGCATCAAAGCATGTAGTTGACAGCTTTTTAATTTCACATCAGAACTTGAACCATAACCTTTTTCCCATTCCTCTGAAAAGTTTTACTTCTGGTACTACAAATGTTCAATTTGTTGTCTAGTTAAAGAAAATTAAAACTCACTGGTCAGAGCAAGACGACTGATAAGAGGCCAGACAATGAGCTAAAAAACACAGGGTCAAAATGCTTTGGAGATTAGTAAAGTCTTAAAACTGTAAGCCAAATCGCGCTTTCATTGCGAATCAAGAAGCCTCAAATACTACCAAATGTCATGTTTATAACACTGCTCAGACAACCTGCCAAAATGATGACCCAAACTTAGATAATGCAACCTGGGAAAGGATCTGTAAATTAAAAAACCTCTTCCCCTTAAATATAACTTATGTGATAATATGAAATTAAATTAAAAATTCCAAGTTATTGCACAAATCATAATTCCAATATTTACAGAGAAAAAAACTGAGCTCTGGAAAAAAAAAGAAACAAACTAAAAAAACAAACAACCAACACAAGAGAGCAGCAAATTTACTTTTATGAATTCCCAACTTGATTTGCTGCAAAGAAGAAAAAAAATTAATTCCAGGGAGATGAAGTTTCCTTCACTTCTAAAATGAAAGGAACAGATATAGCCACAGCAAAAAAGCTATAGCATTTGTAATATAATGTCCTTGCAGTTCTATTGTCAGAGCTGCTTCGATACTGAATGAACCATTTGTGGGAAGGCAGAAAACAAACTTCCACATTTAATAAGGCTTCACAGATAAGCACAACTACTTCTTGAAGATGGACCGAACCACCACACAAAGAAACATGCAAGGAAGTCAGCTGCAGATATTTGGCAACACCAATAAAACGATGTGCTGGATGCTGGTCTCCATCCCTCAAGTCGAGTGGCACTCAGTTTGTCTGAACAGGGAAGGTCATTTTGGCATCTGCCATTATCTGCTCAGACTAATAGGCAAGCTGTCTCTGTGTTTTTTCCTTCTCCATATATTGCGATTGTACTGGTGGTGTCCCCGGTTACCAACTGGTTGCCTCATGCCTCCACTGCTGATGGGACTGTAGCTGTTGCCTTGGTTATGAGTTCCTTTCATGGAAAACTTCATTCCACTGTGCTGCTAAAAAATAAGATAAGCATTCATTTAGGTATAAAAACAGCTAACAAAATAGATATTACCCATTGTATTTCCTCAACATACAAGTCACTTCCACAAAACACTACTTGAAGCAGTGGTCTTTTCATGCTTGTTTATTTGCAGCTGTGCAAGTCCCAAGGCACTAACAGCTTACTAAGTGTTTTCTGAAGAAAATGAAATGGTGTACATTTCAAAGCACCCTTAAAACCTTTGGATCTCAGTATGAAATATACTCACTGTAAAAGTCCCTTATAAAATCAGAGAACTTCTACATTCAACATTAATTGTGACAGATGTATCTATTTTGGATAGTATCTCAGCAGGAACATGACCAAGTGAGACACTTCAGTCTTTCAGAAACATCATAGAGAAATATAAGAGCAAGATCACATGAGCTGATGCTTGGGGAGTACAAGTCTGCTTTCACCATAATGTCAAGTCAGTGACAGGCAAACTAAGAATGGCTTATGAGAAGCTTGTAAATCCTGCTGGTCTGATCATCAGGTTACACAGCTCCTAGACTGTACCTCATATACAGACCAAGGCAAAACAATTAAGTCACCAGAAATATAGGATAATACTTTCTTTGGGGGATCTCCAATAACTCAAAACAAAACCTGCCCAGAAGGTTTAGCAGCAGTCTGAGTAAGCCTACCTCACCATAAGGTACTAGATATCTGTATCACTTAACAGCATACAGTAAGTCGGCTTAATATGTTTGTACTTAAATTAGGTACAAGATTTTCAGAAGATAAAACAGAAATAATAATACTGGTAACAGAAATAAATACTGGTAACATCGATGCAAGCAACATTTCCTGATGTCTGACAGCAATAACTCAACAGACAACTAATTGCCTGTAACAAGAGCTAATTCTAACCGTAAGTGGTTGAACAGGAGCACATTTGGGACAATTGCTTAGAACACTGAAGTAGTTGCAGGTACTTCATATTCTCTATTTCCAAACAAGTGTGAAGTAGAAAGAAACGAGAACACCAAGCCATCATTACAATTGTGTGCACAAAACAAAAACAGTTATTGAAAGCATAATTCTGTAAGCAATATTTTACTATCAAACTTTAAGAGACTTTAGAAGAGACACTGAGCATCCAGAAAGACAAACTGGTGATGAGCAGTGTTGAGGAACAACCACAGTTAACTTCAAGTGGCAAAAACACCTTGAAATTATTTTTGATTTGTACAGTTTCCTACAGCAACCTATTCAACTTTCAACATGCAACTTCTAGACTCTTAAGATAGACACACCAAGTGTTATTCTCAGACTAGCAGTGGCAAAATAATTCAAGGACAAACAGAAAAGGAAATGCAAGCTAAGAATTCTTCATTCATAAGAGACATTACTTCCCAAACATAATTTATTGATCTATATTTCAGAAATAGCTTCTAGACGTTTTAGCAAGTAAACAACATGAAACTAAAAGAAAAAAATGAGAATGTTTTATATTTTTGGCAAGTGGTCCTTCAAGCAAACACACCATGTCACATTCTCATGCAAAGTTTTCTAGTTCAGCAAGCATATCTCTGAGTCAATTATATAGAAGCATTTGCTTGAAATTACATCAAAATACTAAAAATTACCCCATAATAGTAAAACACTAGAAGTAGCCAGTCGTCACAGTGACCTTCAATGATATGCTGAAGAAAGACAGAGGAAAACTTTAGTATTGCTACTGAACAACCAGAACAAAACTGATCAAGGAGCATACAAACTTCCAGGAAGCCAATCCATCCACTTCAGTTGAAAATGTGAAAAATGTGGGAATTTCTTCCTTAATATGAATGAGGATTCACCAAAGAGAACTTACTGTCCTGGAGCAGGACAGCAAGTGACCCCAAGATGAGACAAACAGCACAGCAAGTATGACAAGTAAATCTACCTGTATCCTAAAAGATCTTATACTCCTTGACTACTCAAAATGTAAACAAACTTTCAAAGAATGATTAATAACCTAGCCAGAATGTGAACTCAATCTTGTGATGAAGCATTCTACATTGTTTTTTGGCCATCAAGATAAACTGTCAATCTGAGTAGGATCTGAATTTATCACTCTTATGACTCATCAGCTGAGAGAGGTGCTTAAGGAAGCTGACTCAGGGACTACTTCAGTAAGAGATGATGCCTTTATATTTACCAGTTCTCAACTACATTTTGTTCACTAGTTTGTTCATTTTTTTGAAACCATCAGCTTTTAGCATCCTGTGCTACGGCATTTCACAGCTTAAATGAGCATCACGTTTAATTTGAGCCTACTATGGGATGATCTATCAGTTCTCAGAGTAATAACTTCTTGTCAATTCTGTTCTCTAACTTTTTCATATACTGCTGATGACAATACAGACCCTAGATCATATACCTCATTTTGCTGAGGTTAAACATCATTCTTTCTTCACACAGAAGCAATTCCATGTGTTTGATCATTATTAACATCCTTCCCTAGTCTGCTTCCATTTCTGTTTTGACTTTCCTCTGGGAAGTAAAGAAATGGCAAAATTTTACTCGCTGTTCGTGTTCTTACAGAACACCATGATGTTATCTTTAAAAGAAACTGCCTGCTCAGAGCCTACCACTCTCTACAAAGTTTAAATGATTTCTCTCCCTCCTTGTGCATTACCTTGCATCCTTTCTCAGATAGCCCTTAAGGTGTTTCTCACCACCAGCAAACTTCACCCGGCTTCATCAACTGCCTTTTAGACATTAGGCAGCATAAACTCCTGCAGGGCTTTCCTGGTGAACTACATCTTTTACAAACACTGAATTTTTTGTTCCTCATTTTCCAATTAGTTAATTGTTTAAAACAGGACACATTGGAAAAAAGAAATTTACTTCATATTTTTTGAAATCTCAAGAGACTGTAACAAACATCTTTCTCCTGTGCACAAACTTCTGGTCATCCCCATGCTCAGGACTCACACAATCACTGACAGATGACATCTGTAAGCAGATAATTTCTAGAGAGATCAAATAATCCAAAAATAAAGCCCTTTATCTGTGATACAACAGAGAAATCTTTGATTTATAAGTTTCAACTTCTTTGGGTCTATTCCTCTAGATAGAACAATCTCTCCCATCTTCAGGGTATTGATTCAATAAATGAATGATAGAAGCGGTTTGGTTTTTAGCTGTGTTGAATAATCTGATAGATCTGGAAGGTAAACTAAAGAATTCACATTTAAGACAAGGCTGAGGATGGGGGTAAGGTGAAATTCTGCACCACACACCAGGTTAAAAAAGCTTCCAGGAAAAAAAAAAAAAAGAACTGTAAATAGAAAGACATACAAACAAACAAAACCCCCACAACTTAAGAGAAAAAAAATCCACAACAAAAACCCCCACCAAAAAAAAACCAAACCAAAAAACCAAACAAAAACAAGAGGAAAAGAAAAAGCACCAGAAAAAACCTCAAGAAAAATCTGGTTGCAACAGAAATACCAAATAATTATTTGCTAAGGAAACCAAATTTCTATTCCTGAAAACTGGTAAATTTACTGTACAAGACTGCTGACATTTAAAGACTGTCACTATTCAAAAAGAAAATTTATAGCCAAAAATCAATCCCCTACAATTTGAAATAACACAAGTAATGTAACAGAGTTGAAATCTAAATACACACAGGCTTCTGAATTGTTTTGGTCTTTTGTTAGTATTGTTTTTGGTTTGGTTTTTTTTGCCTGATAGCATTTCTCAAGTGGGGAGGAAACAAATGCAGAAAAATGTTGGTAACGAAGTATCTGTGCACAACTTAAAAAGAGACTAAACATTCAGTGCTTCAGCATGATTGCTAAGTGCTTGCAAAGGTAAAGGAAAAGCTTAGAAAACACATAAGACAGTTTGAAAGATCACATATTTACTATTTTGTTGTTTAGAGTACAGTATTAAAGGCCATGACTGAATCTCGTCTGCAGTTGATCAGACTTGTAACCAAATGCAAAGACCTCAAAATCATTTCATGTGAAATACCAGAGTAGTATTCAGTGCTACCTTAATGTACCATTAACAATTTAAGTATCCCTTAAATAACCTATAATACATTCTCAAAATACTTCACAAAGTTTACAGTACTTCCTAACTCTCTTAGGCTTGTAGCATTCACTTGCTGACTTTGTGAGCATACCAACATCTGTAAATACACTCAAAAAAATTAACAACTTCTTCATTATGAAATAGATTCCTTGTTTTGCAGAGAAATAATAGTGACCTAACTGACATTTTAGTCACAACTGCATAAACAGTAAGCCAATTATTAGGCAACCTAACCTCATTAGTTTTGATTAGTTAGCAGGATTCTGCAAGATATCTGCACATGCTACCTGGGTGCACTCAACCTGGTAAGATTTCTATGTGGTCTAGAATTCTAAGCTGAAGTAGAGACAAACCAAAGTAAGTTCTCCAAAAAGTTATTTAGTACTGGCAATCTAGGAAAATATGGCTCAAAACACAGGAAACAGAGACACTTCTCTTTTTGGGACCTACAGGCCATGTTCACCTACAACTGATAAAATCTTGAGTCCTGAACAGATATTATAAAAAGAGCCCTAACTCTTTTCTGGTATTATTAAAAGGGGAAATTTATAGGGCAAACCATAAGAACAGCAAAGAATATAGATAAACCAACATGGGAACTTAAAAAGAGTTCAAAAGCAAGAAAAATTTTAGATGTTTCTTACCTTCCAGCACAAGAAGACTGGAAAAATTAAAGCTACAAGGGAGCAGATTATTTCAGTATTTCAGATCTTATTTCACTTCATTACAGACGACTGTCAGAACTACCACACATAGGTCAAGGTCCCCTTCACCTTTCACAACAGGTTAGGCAGTACTAGTATGAGCAGCTCCAAGATAAACTAGTATTTGAGAGAGCAGAGGGCCTAGTCCCCAAAATGAGGGACTGAGAGTAAGACAGTACTATCAGCACTGCAGCAAATACCAAACTACTTGGTATAAAGAAAGCAGAATGACAAATGAAATAAATACCCTTTCAATCTTGTCAGTACCCAAGTTTCCAAGCTGAGGGGCAAGAGTCAAAACAATCCTACCAGAAGACAGAACTTGTACTGCAATATTGCTGCTGTTGTGACATGGGCCATGAAGTGTATCTGCATACTTGTCACTACAGAGAACAACAGATAATAGCTTTCTTAGGACAAAGCTGACAGTTTCAGACCTTAAAGAGAAATCTTACCTCACTGAGAATTCTCACTTCCAATTTGAAACAGAAAAGCCATTACTACAGTAAGAAAACCCCTTTTCAAATGACGAGGTGATACCAACACAGTACATGTGAAAAAGTCTGCAGAGGAAACGCATATGTGATTATTCAAATCAATCTCAGTTTGCGAGCAAAAATCTGGAAAAAACACTGGAAGATAAAGGACTACTATGTGAACAAAAGGAAGGTATGATTTCTACGTTTCCTTAGGTCTTATTTATGGTGGGTTTGTTTATGTTTCTAAGAAAATTCTATTTAGACTTTGCTTTTCTTGCAACTCAAAAACACTCAGGAAGCAACTGCCAATGTGGCCAGAAGATCTCATACCTACAGTCCCATAAACATCTAGACTAAATGTTTATATGAAGAACTCTGGAGATCACTAAACCAACATTCTGTTGTAAACAGTCAGATTAGGTTATCCAGGGTCTGGTCAGGCTAAATCATTTTTCATACACAGAAGGATACACCACATGTAAGTATAGGGAAATCTAGATGAAAAATCTCTAGTACTGTTTTCAGATGAGCAACCTCAAACTCAGATCGCTTTTCCTTCTCTTTTTTTCCTTAGAAAAGGAAATAAAACACCATCTTCTCCTAAGTTTTGCATGTGTTAAAAACCAAACACTGTTCTGTCACACATAGAAGATGAGAATCTGACATTTAGAATCAAAACTGTTTCCAAAGTAGACAACCATAACCTACTTCCTATGAAAACGCATGGACACTGAAAAATTATTCCATCCCAACTGAGAGCATTCTCAATAAAAAAAAAATTACAAAAATTTAATTTGGTTGAATGAAGAAGCCTTCGGTACCTAAGCAGCTTAGAAATGTCATTGAACAAATTAGGTAATTTCTAAATTGAAGTTGACATACTCAAAACACTGAAGTATCTCAATATACAAAGAGAATTCAGCATACTTCTGCACTAACATGAATAAAAACATGTACTTAAAAATTTATCCTTCATCCAAGTGAGTAACATTTAACTGTCTGCACTCATCTAAAATAAATTTTGACTCAAGTCCCTGACTAATTTTGTTTGCAACACTACTAACTTTCCAGCAATCATCTCAGAGATACTAGCAGTATCAGCAGTGAGACAAAGCAACACCATTAAAAATTTTTCTGGATAAATGCAAACTCTAAAACAAAATATGTTAGTCCCAGAAGTGCCTGTAACACAATATAAAAAAGTAGTTTGTATGTTCTACCTTATTTGGTTAAACTCAAAAGAATCTACTCCTGCAAGTTGTTCTATAAGTTTTGACTGTGGTATCTCAGCACTGACATTAAGGTTTTTAACTCCTAGTTTTCTCCATAGCAACGAACATACTCCCAATCAGACACCACTCACCTTTACTGGAGACTTTCTCAGGCACATTAGAAGCCAGCCAGTGCAGCAGAGGGACTGGTGCTAACTGGCTTTAGATACTTTGGAATCAAAACATAACCCTTTGGGGGAAAAAAGAAGGCATCTTAAAAGTTAAATGAAAGAGTTCTTCTGACTTAAGAAAAAGGAAGCTTCTTCTGTCTTCATTTTGGTAACCTAGCAAACAGCAATCCAGCACTAATTAAATTTATGTCAAAGTAGCAACAGGGAATGTAGTCCCCTCCTCTCCCTGGGAAGTTAGAAAGAAATTTCTGCCCCCTCTACTCATCTGCACCTGCACACCAATATCTGTTTATCGGCTTATTTCTAATGGGCAGCACTGCTTCATAAACCGTTCTGCTCCCCCAAGTAAAATTTCAAACTGCTGTCAGCAGAGTAGAAGCATGATCATCTTGGAAAAATGATGGATGATGATGGTCCTGAAAAGCACACAGACCTATGCCAGGAGCTTAATCAGTCCCTGAAATATCTGGAAATTCTCTAATTAGTTATGCACTACATAAACAGAATTGGTAATCATACCAAACATGTTTCAAAAATGAAAATACCAGGAAGCTTTAACAGCAGCAACTTGACTAGAAGGAAGTAATTTGCTCAAAATACAGTTAAATGCTCTTGGTACCTCCTGCTTTTGAGATTTGTACTTGACATCTAGGTACAGCTTTCCAAGCTGAACTGAGGTGGAAAAGGTTGCCAGAGAGAAAGCTGAAGACACCATGCAGACAAATAAGTCCTCTTCAAAATTTTTTTAATATGAAAGAAGACTTGATTTTAAGAAATTCTTACACATGTTCAAATCTATCAGGACAGGAAATCCTCTAAGATGGTAGAATGCACCTATTAAGAGTTATAAGCTAGCTGAGTCTCGTCAACTCAAAAGAAAAGCCATCAGCCTAATCTAGCACAGTTATGTTCCAGAAAGTTGGAAGTGGAAAGGAGATATTTACAGTATTCTAGGTGATACTATTTCATTTCCCACTTCTGACTTGATCATAAACTTTATAAAAAAACCCCACTTCTACTTCACAAAATATAAGCTTTTGATAAATTCAATGCAAATAGCCTATTATCCCATTTCTAAACTATAGGTAGCAAGAAATTCTTCTGATTTAATGTAATTCTCAAAGGCACATATTTGTTAAGCAACACCACAGAAAAAATCCTGGTTTTAAACATATAAGTACTATAAAACTACTAACAGAACAATTAATCACTTGAAAGGACAGTCAATGAACTGAAAGCCAGAGCAACTGCTACAAAGGAGTTGTTTTCCAAGATTCAAAATTCTAGCAAAGATCCAAAATTCACATGACACACCGCCTCCCCACAACTGTGGCAAACACTCTGAATGCCAACTTGTTTTATACTAACAACTGCACAGCTCCTAACTAGCTCCAGGGTACTTATTCAGAAAAGTAAAGCTGTTAAAGAAAGAATAATCTACACTAAGTTTATATTTCAGATGAATTTTAACTTAAAATAAGTCTCAAGTTTTATTTTAAAAAAATTTCTAAAATTTCAGACTGGACTGTATTCACTAGCCAGTGAATACTCAATTGCAGACACTATTATAGAAATCTATTATTCTATTAACTTCTCACTAATAAATTTCCTGTGCATGTAAGCTGGTCTTGCCAGTGGGACTGAGTAGTAGGGAAAAAAAGGAGGGGAAGAATCTGTGTAATCAGTTAGGATCTCAAAACCAAAGGCAAGTCAAGGGAAGTGATCATTTCCCCTCTACTCAGCACAGGTGAGGTCACACAGAGTGGTGGGCCCAGGTCTGGGCTACCCAGGAACAGAGATATTGACAAATGGGAGAGTGTCCAGTGAAGATTCATAAAGTGAATAAGTGCTGAATCAATTACAAAAAGACAAAGTCACTAAATTGAAAATCTCCTGGCACTTGACTCCCAAGAACTCTGATAGAAGGACTTGGAGAAGAAGAAAGAGAACCTGACCAAACCTAAGTTTCAAAGAAACCAGCTCACTGTTTTGTTACCGTAGGCAACCTACAACCCACAATTTGCAAAAAGCCTCCTGTGAGGTAAGTTTGACAAATAGCTTTAATTATCAAGACTGAGGGAGTGTCTTCCTTGCAGAAAGATGCATCAAGGTTGTACCAGAATGGATACACTGGCCAAAATGCATTCAGGTCCCATCACATTTATGCACACATTTAATTTTTTGGTAAAAATCTTGTGCACATGTCCATAATTAATCTTTTGTTCTCTACCTTTAAAATGTATTACAGAATATTACAACTGTAACCAAATCTGTTCCAATAATTCAAAATAAAGACAACTAAATAAGCCCAGAAAGCTCACTACTATTCATTAAAAATAAAAAACTATCTTACAGCTCTACCACCTATACGGTGGTAGAAATTAAACAGCCTAAAGATCTACAAATATTGCACTAGTTGGCCACCAGGACTCTCAAATACAACTTAAGAAGTCAGACACCTGACACACCTTCTTTAACTTACTCCTAGGTGTCTGTGTGGTGGAAGGGTTCTTCTACTCTAAACCCTTGCCCACCCTTTGCTCTCCTCGCACCTCTGACACAGCAGGTAAGTACTTCTATGACCATTTGAAGCTTAGTACATGCTCTATAAAGATTATCCTCAGAGGCTTTTAGACTGACAGCACAGAACACACAACCTACACTTGTGATGTGATTGCTTGCTCATGACAGTTGCTGGCTCATACCTGATTACTGGCAGCCATTATCAGGGTTCTCGGAGGCGCAGATTGGGGTTTACCACTTGGCAGGGGCAATGCGGGTGCTAAACTGGCCATAAGCTGAGTCGGTGCTTGAAGACTGAACTGGTAAACATTAGGAGCTGTGCAAGGTGGTGTATCTGATTCCTTTTGGCAGAGAAAAAGGGGAAAAGAAAAGCAACTTTACAGAAAGTACAGTATATACAGACTATGCACGTGAAAATGCATCCAAATATCAACTCAAGTGAATACTATAAAACATAATTTTTTTTTTTTCAATAGCAAAATAATAATGAAATAAAAGCCAGCACTATGCTTATTTTATACATGTAGCAAAAGTTTAATTGAACTTCCATTAAGAAGGCAATGTCAACAGGTCTATGGCAATCACAGCTCAGTTCCAGTCAGCACAAATCTAAAGCCAAAGTTATGTCTCTAGCAAATTCAAACTAGAAGATGAGAACTAAAGCTGGGAAAAAAGAGAACAAGAACAGCAATAATCTGGGTGACAGAACATAAGAACTTGAGTTGTCATGACAGATTCGGTCCTCAGAACAGTGTTCTGGAGTGTACTGATTTATATAGTGAAGTTACTCACTGTAATTGTTACAATCTTCTCCAGTCTATTCAGCAATAGCAAAGTTAGGGCTCCACCTACCAAGAAACAAGTTGATGCTCTGCCAGTAAGGACCAGTATACATGTACCAGTTGCACACACCACTGCTCTTGGGAAGCTCTGCTCCCCTCACATTCCATCTGAAATCTGAGAGATAGTTCTTCAGGGAAAGCAAGATAGATGTAGGATAGCAGAAAAGATAATGCAATGTAACTGATATCACTGATTACTATTCTTCCTCCATCGAGCCTGATCACCCGCAATCTTATATGCATCCTAAGCAGACATACTGGTGATGCTAAAATACTTTTTGTGTGGAGCACATAAGAGCAAGGAGACAAGCACAGATCTAGGGATTTATAGGAATTACTGAAGTCTGAAAACACCTGACTACCACACTTCTTAAATGATCTATTATTTTCTAATTTGAGAAAAGTGGAAAGCAAGCCATAGCCTTTTAAAACAACTTTGAAGACAAAACCTCTTGTAAAACTTATTTTCCAGGCATAACATAATGGCAGAAGTAGCTTCCCCTATGTTTCACTGCTGCTTTACCACATTCTTAACTCCAAAGCATTCTGAACTTAAAAACAATGGAAAAACCTTTTTTTTATCCCAAACCACTAGTGTTTTTTCCACTGCTAACTCTTAGGTTTGAAATAATAGCAAGACATGGGGGTTGGCCAATTAGAAGTTTAGAAGTCACCATGTTAAAAGGCACTATTGGCTCAGGTTATCACAGATCTTTATTGTTGAAGTAATAACTGCAGTATTCTATTGCTCTGTCTCTAGAGATTAATTGCCTCAAAGCAAAGACTCTTTACTTAAATCATGTAAACTTTAAATAGATCTTCAGCACTACTACTTGCCCTCAAATGGCCTTGTTCTTTAGATTAGATTATTCAGTTAGATAATAGGCTGCTCAAGAACAGAAACAAGATGTTTAAAAGCTTTTTTTGGGGAAGATTATGTGAGACTGACAACTGTGACTACTAAGGAGCCTAAGCAATGAGCTACTACAATGCAAAATTTGCATCCCAGCTGAATTAAATACAGTAGAAAAAGTCCTCAATAAAACAAATTTGTTAGAACAACCAGTCTTTTATTGGTCTGTATAAAGTTGTGCTTAGTAAAAAATAAGATCTAAAAAGAAAGGAGCTGCTCTTCTATTAATTAGTTGAACCAGTGATAGTTACAGTATGCCTCTGTGAAGCAGGGGCATCATGAAGCAGGCATCATGAATTCACTAGAGACACACCATAGCAGTAAAAAGCATCTGTGCAGAAAGTTCTTATTTATGAGATTGGATATTTATTCTTTAATAAATATGTTCATCACAGAGGGAAACTATATGCTGCAGCACTGACCAAAAATTAAGCTTTAGTTGATGCCTAGATTAGATGGCATTTTTCTCCTTTACCCAATCCTACAGTATCAACACCATGGGAACAGGCTAAGGTCTCCACAAAGATGTTTTTCCTTGGACACTTTTGGTCATGCAATTATTAAAAAAAAATATGAGAAGAGGGGGAAATGGACAGACAAATTCTTAGCATGCTCACAAGTACCCATGAGCTAGCAGATGGGATGGAAAAAGAAATCTTATTGTCTAGCCAAACCAATGTGCAAATTTACTGCAATACAGCCTTCACAAACCTGACCAAAGAACAATTTTAATGTCTCCATTCAAAGGATCTACCCTTTCTCTACTGCTTAGATACAATTAGATCCCTGAAGGTTCATATACCTAACCCAGATGAGACACTTCTCATTAATGGGATTTCTAAGGGGCTTTAGAAACAACAAAAGTAGCTTGAAAGAAAAGGAGTTCCAGATGGAAAAGAGCATCACATCACGAGATGTGATGTGATTGAGATTAGAGTTCACGACAAATGAAGCTCATGTTGCTTTATTTTAAGTTTGTAATCTGTTTTTCTGCCTCAAGTGTTAGTTATTGAAACACATCTCATACAGGCAGATTGTATCTTTTTTCTAAGGCAATCCTGGATTGCCAATGGCATTACTGTACAGAGTTGATATTGTGACTTCTCAAGAGCATCAAAATCCTTCTGTAAAGAGCAGCATTACCTTTCTTAAACTGAAAGATTAAACTTGGATCAGAAATCTGAGCCCTAATGTGAACAAATCTGTTTTTCCATGAGCACAGCCTACATTGAAGGATTAAACCTTTCTTGGTCTTCTGGACCAGAATCTTAAGTGTCACGTGCAAACTTGAAGCACTACAGAAGTTCAGATGACCTACAAATAAATATATGGAGGTAACACCTTTGACATGTTAGGTACACTTCTGGAAGACAAAAGCTCTGACCACTATTAGGGTGAGGGCTACAGAAGTCATATTAGAAAAGATAAATGTTCACAAAAAGGGGTAAGATCCCTCAATTGATTTTAGCAGATAATGTAGGGATAAAGCTACAAGACTGCACATTGTACCAGTACCTCATCCTGCAAGAAAAATATCCTCTAAAGATATGCTTTTAGAAACCAAGAAAGACTAACAGATGTGTGTTTATCCTCCTGGGATATTTCCATTTTAAAACATGCTCTTTAACCAGTTTCAACCTCCTGATTAAGAACTTAGTACGTGGAAGGAAGAGTTCTACTACTCATAGCCATGATTACTGAGGACTCTAGTTTACTTTAATGCTGAAAAAATAAAGTATGGAAGATACCTAGAAACTCAAGTAACAGTTACTGATGAACTTCTGCCTAGACAGAAACAGTAAAACACTGAAGTCATATGAAAGATGAAGAAGTGAAATCTAGACTTTTCTTCCTGACATAGGATAAGAATAAAGTAAAACCATTTACTCTTCTGCAAAATGCTTCTCCATTACATAAAGACCCAGGACCCCATTACCAAGAGAATATTTACTTGCCAAAACTTCTTTACTAACTAGGTCTGGCCATAAGAATTTACCTCGATTCCACTAATAACTCAAGACTTATGATACCTGGTAACTTCTCAGTTAACAGCTACCATTTCAGAGCTTTCCATTTCCAAGACAGTATGTTTTTTTAAGAGCTGAAGTTACCTAAGATTAATTCACAATCCCAGTGTGTGAGTGTGATGGATTTGGGTTTTCACCACCAACTCCAAGAAGAACTACAAAAGTCTTGGCAAAAAGATTCTCATTGTTTCCACCCTCAAAATTTCTTCCACTAGTTAAACATTTTTTTTCTCTTTCCCACAACATTCAGGAGTTAGAAACTGTGCGAGAACAATGACCATTTCAGTAAAAACTCAGTTCCATCTTCAAAAGTGAAGAACTGAAAATTGTTGTTTATAGTTAACACTTTACACTGTACATTTTCAAGTGCTCCTCTCCTTACTTAAAATTACAGTGATTTAACAGATGACTGCTGCCAGTCAGGTGTAAACCTTCTGCCTCTTTTCCCATTCCAGCTTTCTCCATTACACCTGTATTAGCATCTGACATTACTATGTGCTAATTCACAGAGGTGAACCACAGAAACAGTAATCCCCTTCTTACTAGTTTCACTTCCTGAATCAGCCTACCACAGGATTAGGTGAACAGCAGTGTAGAAAAGCAGGAGCAGCTAATGAAAGGAAATTTGGCTAGCAAATACATCCTGTTACTGAATTGGCTTAGTAAAATGCAAAAGCACACTCCTCTGAACATAAAGCAACACCAGAGGACTTCAGACATTTCATAGTTTGGTGCCATGCAGAGAAGAACTTCAATACATACTCCCACTTGAATGGCTTTAGCCTCAGCACACTTAACTGTGCTTGATAAACCACCATGCTTCCAAAGGTGACTGTGTGATCACCCCTGCCCTCATCCCATTTCTTCCACATTGTGCGCCATTTCTTTTCTTGGTAGGTGGAGCCATAACTTCAACTATGGTGTAAATAATGTAGAGTTGGGATGAAGAAAATGTCTACTTCTATGGAAGGTCACAAGATAATTTGTATCAATATAGTTGCTCCACTTCCACTGGCCAGCCTATAAACAATATAAGTCTTGAGTAAAGGTGAAACTGGTTGATTTTTCTGCCTTTCATTGCAGAAAGAAAATATCTTGGTCATTGTGACTACAGAAGAGAAGCAATGAAAGAATATAGGATACACAAGCAAACTGAAAAATATGCATCCTCCAAAAGCATTAGTGTTTGTTTTACAGAAAGGCAACTAAAAACATGATCTAATTAGTATATAATTAGATACAAGCCTAGTACCCTAGTACAACTCATTATACCCTGAGAGATCTAACTGCAAGCTTATTCCATGTTTTATCAATACTCAGTGTATTTCAAATGAGCCATTTTAATTTAAAAAGTCCCAAAAATGCATAATTTAAAACTTCCTTTGTTGCTCCAATACTTTTATTTCACAGGCTTACAACTGGTCTATATTGCTAACAATATAGAAATATTTCCACCTTGATTTTCAAGTTATGCACTAAATCACAGGACTCATTATGAAAGCTGAACATGCACCATACTAGACTATAAACACAGAATTTAGGTGTTCTTCCATCCTAAA